AACATTCTCAAGTTCCAGGGAACAGGAACATGTCTTTGGGAGCCATGATTGAGTTTGTCACAGTCATCCTCGTTGTGTGTGTCCTGGTCACCCTGTCTCCACTCCAGTGGAGGCAAGTAGAAGATGATGTGTGTGAAAGCCTTCAGCCAGCTGAAGGTTTTTTCTGCTTGCACACTTCACTCTTACTGCCTAGAACACATGCAGTCCCATGTGGCTGACTTCTTCACAGCTTTGGCGTTTCATCTCTTCTTCAGAAATGGCTTCCCAGCACCGCCTCCTCAGCCCTGTTTGTTCTCTATCTTAGCACTCCAGCGCTCACCACAGTTTCTCACAATTGCTGTATTACTTATTAAGGTACATGACTCTTATCCATCTCCCCTCTTAGACTTTCAGCTCTATGAGAGCAAGAAGCCTGGTGAGTCCGATTCTGTACTGCATCCCCAGCTCCTAGAGCAAGCAAGGGCTGTGGTGCTCCCCAAAGAATCACTGGGAGCTCAAACCCCAGTCCCACCAAAAAAAAAAAAAGAACCATTGGCTGCATAAATGACATTCAGAGTTAACAATTCATCAATTTCCACCCATGGCCAGGTCTTGAGTTTTGTCTTTTAAGAGATAAGACTATCTCTGAAGACATCTTTGACTCTGTATTCCCCAGATCCAACCCTGACTCTTTGTGGAAGGCCCTATCTCCTAATCTCCCTAAAGCTTCCTGTCCCCATCTGTAGGATCTTTGTGGGCATCTCCTCATCTTCACTTGACATGTTAGACCCTCTCTAAGGACCCAGGCAACTGGCTATTCCAATAGAATCAAAGAATATTAGAGTTGCTGGTGGGGGGGATGGCCCAAACAGTGTATGCATGTATGAATAAATGACTTTTAAAAAAAGAATGAAGCACACACACAAAAGAATATTAGAGTTGAAAGGAACCAATCAGACCAGGGTTGGCCAACTATGACTCACTGTCTGATTACGTACATAAAGTTTTATTGGAATACAGACAACTTCCTTCATTTAGTTGTCTGTGGCTGTTTTCTCACTACAGTGGCAGATCTGTAGCACAGACCATATGGCCCCTAAAGTCTAACATAGTAACGATCTGGCCACTTACAGAGATGGCTGCCAACCCTGAAATAGACCATCTGATCCAGGCCCACCCACCCCACTGTACAAATGGGGGCCAAAATGTTTCTGGATCAGAGCCAGAGTGCCACAGGGAGCTCCTGTCAGGTCCAGGACTGGAATTCAGTTCTACAGAATCCCAAGCCAGGTATTCCCCACAAATATACCGTCCATCCTCTCTGGTGTCCAGAATTCCCAATCAAACTCCCTTTCAGTCCTGGGCTGTGACCCTTATCACCAGCTCTCTCTTCACCATGTCAAAGAAAGACCACATCCATTTATGTTTGCCATCTACAACTTGAATCTGGACTTTGTAGCCTTCCTGAGCTGATTTGCTGGTTTGACCATGCTAGACCCCACTTCGGCTTTCTCCTCCCTTCCAGAGCCTCCGTTCCCACCCTCCCTACCTCTCCAACACCATAGCAAAGACTTAGATGGCCAATGCCCTGTCTGAGTTGAACTTCTCCTCCTCTCTTTTGTCCCAGGCCACTAAGGGGTTAAGAAACCTGGCTTTCCCCAGATTCCCAGGGGAAATGATGTAGATTGTAGGCACCCCAGCCCCACCCCAGGTTCTATTGATCTAGAACTTTGGGTGTGAGGTCTTTGCAAATTTCATTAAACCATGACCTCTTCAGGCTGCTTCTGGGTTGCAGTCACTAATGACTTTAGAATAAAGTGGGAGGCCAGTGAGACAGTACAAAATTAGAATGCAGTATTTTTTCCTAAGCATTCTTCACTTTCTGCTTGACTCAAGGCCCTAAAATTCTTTCTCTCCTACTCTTCTGAAGAACACATCACAAATAATGCAATATTCTCCCCTCTGAGCAGACAAGATAAGAAGATTTTTTAATGAGTGGCTGGCAAAGAATTCATGAGCTTAGAAACTATTGAAGTCAGAGTGACACAAAGAAGGCAATATTGAAAGGAGAGACTAGGTCCATAGACTATTCCAGAGGAGGCTGGACTCCTGGGACTTGCCAGGTGTCTTGGTAAAGGCATTACTTGGAAGGCAACAGGGTCCCTCTTTGGTGTCCTTTGGCATTTATTTCTCAGACCCACTGTGTGCCCTGGGCCCCTGACATAAAACACAGCAACCCAAAGGCAGCTCTGTGATAGAGACACAGTCCTACAGGGACTGGAGTTGTGGACCATGCTTGGGGCCACTGAGCAAAGGAAAGACAGAAGGGGGTAGTGCGACTCTGCAAAACAACCCAGAGGGGAGTTCTCAGAGCACTTGGAGGCTGGTTTCCAACGGCAATGGAGACAGTGACAAAAATCAGTCCCGCTTCACCTGAAACAGTAGAATCCAATTCAGTTTCAAGTCAGTGTGTTTATTGAGTGCCTGATTCGGTTTAGGTGATGGAGAGAGGAGGAGAATGAGGAAGACAGCCTAAGCAGCGGGCTGGTGTAGGCAGAATTCCCTGGTGTCCGCCCCACAGGTCCACGGGTCCAGAAACTCGATTCTGTTAGTTTCACCCAGTAAGAAATTGCTAAATCTTAGTCTGTTTCATGAACAAATATTTATTAAGAGCTTACAGCCTGCCAGACACTGTCCTGGAGCTGAGGCTGCCACAGTGAACCAAGCAGTCCCAGGCCTCTTCCCTGTGGACTTTTTATGCTAACAGACATTTGCAGGGCCAGCAGAGTCCTCTGGGGTGGGGGTGGGGCCACATGGGAGGGGACCATGTGTGGTGCAGTTGCCAGGAGAAACACTTAGAGAGAGGTGGGATTTGAGCTGTGGTTTGAAGGATAAATGGGGTACAGATTTTTTGAAGGGCTGCATGAACTGAGTTGCGTGACCAGGAATGACCCTGGCAGGCCATCCAGGGTCCATGACCAGGTTATGGACCTAGGGTCTTAGCTCTCTTAGGGTAACAGGTGCATTCTGGGTAACAGTATATTCTGGAAAGCTAGAAAACAAAATACATGAGCTATGTAGTCAAACAGCTTGGATCTGACTCAGTTCTGATAACCTTGTGAACCAGGGCAGGCTTCTTAACCTCAATAAACATCACTCTCCTGACCATAAAATGGGCTGACTCAACTAGCTCACAGGTGGTCCTAAGTGCTTAAATGAGATCATGGATGAGTGAGCTGAGATGAAGGAAGAAGACTAAGTTGTTGCATATTATCGGTGTTATATAAAGTAGCTCTGACTCTAGGAAAACTGGAATCTGCCACCAAAACTTTGCGGGAAACTCATGACATCTGTGCACCTCCAGGGGTTGGCTACTCTGTGTTTCCTTTCTGCACCCCTATGGCAGCCATGCTGGACTGAATGGCAGCCCTTGTGGCAAGGGAGAAGTGAGCAGGTACCTAACAAGAATGAAGACATCTCTGCACAGCCTCAAATTTTATGCCCTAGGCAGTTACTGACCTCACTCTAATCCAGACCCTGCTGAATGGCAGGAAACCTTTTGGATCTATATAGTGCTTTCTCAAAGTGTGGCCCACCTAAATCAGAAGCATAGGGGTTGTTTCTTAAAATTGTATTCTACAGCTATATGCAATTAGCATCTCTGGAGATAAGCCAGGAAAGCTGCATTTTAAAGACCCCATTCCCCGCCCAGCTACACATCCCCTCCACCTACTTTCTCAGGACCCCTACAACTATTTGAGAGCAGAAGTTTTTTGAGTGAAGTCCTTAGGCCAACAACACAGGATCAGGTACTGAGTAGAAATGCAGGTGCCTGGGTCCATCCTAAATCAGAAATGCTGGGGGTGGAGCCAGGAATCTGCATTTTTATCAAGGCTTCCAGGTAATTCTGATGCATATTAAAGTCACAGGGCAAAGTCTTAAAAATGGTGTCACCAGGTACCAGTTGCTCATGCCTATAATCCTAGCTATTTGGGGCGGGGAGGGGGTCCTAGATCCCAAGGATCAGATTCAAGGACAGCCCTAGCAAATAGTTTGGGAGATCCCCATCTCCAAAATAACTAGAACAAAAATGAACTGGAGGTGTGGCTCAAGTGGTAGAGCACCTGTTTTGTAAGCAAGAAGCCCTGAGTTCAAACCCCAGTACCACCAAAAAAAATAAATAAACCATAAATGTCCAGCCCCATTCTGTACTAATTAAATCAGAATCGTGGAATAGGGTCTCAAGTATTGGTAATGTTTTAAAGCCCCTCCTCCCCCCGGTAATGCTAAGGAGAGGACAGAGTTTGTAATACCTGGAAGAAACAGGAAGTGGGCACAAAATGCACTTAGAAAATTACAGCTCAGGCAGAAGCATTGTGTCACCGATGCCTGCCGCAAGCTAGACTCCCACCCATTCGCACCCAGACCCCATTGGCTTCCAGAGTTTCAGGGGTGGAGCCAGGGTCCCCAAAACTTGGTTGTTGACCAAGCTGGGAAAGGTTGGCTGTGAACTTGGCTGTCTTTACACCTTTGCCAAGTGCTTTTATGCCTTTTGGCAGCCTGGCACTTGGGAGGCCAGGAGAGCCCGGAAGAGTGTCAGGGAGCCAGCAGGGATGGGAAGGGAGAGGACCCCTTGGGCTGTGGTCAGGAGCCTCTGGAGGAAGCACACCAGGCATCACTGGCTGCCTCCTAGCTCTCAGTCCTGCGCTTGGTACTTTAAGTGACTCATCTCCCTCATATTCACATGACCGCTGAGAGGGCTAGTATTCCACACAGCAGTCACACCGCATGCGTTCATGGTCACAGCGTCCCCGTTTTACAGATGAGGAAACTGAGGCCCAAAGATTCCAAAGAGCCTGCCCCGGGCTCACCGGAGGGGTCGGGATGCCTCCAAAGGTTCTCGCACTCCTCGGGAATGGAGAGGCGGGGTCTGGGGGACTCGCTGCGGACAGGGGTGGGGCCCAGGTAGCTCCTGCACCGCAGCCTCCTAACGCGTGTCCCCGCCCCTCCTCCCGCCGCAGGCCCTTCCTCGTGCTGCCACCGCTGATGGAGTGGATCCGGGTGGCCGTGGCACACGCCGGCCACCGCCGCAGCTTCTCCATGGACAGCGACGACGTCCGCCAGGCCGCCCGGCTGCTGCTGCCGGGTGTGGACTGCGAGCCGCGCCAGCTCAGGTAGGGCGGGCGGGGACGGAGGGGGACAGGGGCGGGGACCGGGATGGGTCCCCGATCGCAGCCTCACCTCCCACGCCAGGCCCGCGGGCGCAGCGCGCTCGCCGCCCGCCTGTGGCGGAGGCTCCACGGGTTTAAATGGCAGACGCGGGCTTCACAATGGCAGGGCTCTGGAGTGGCAGAGATGAAAGAGGACAGCAGCGTGGCTGTGTGGAGAATGGACTCGCTTAGATGGCGGGGTGCAGGTGTGGCTTCTTTCTGCTTGGTCTCTCGGCTGGTATATTCCTATCCCTCGCTCCCTCTCTCTAGGATCTCTCTCTTTGGGTTTCCCTCCCTCTCTCTCTCACCCTCTCCGTGAAATACTGTCTTTCTGTACTTCCCTCTCCAAACCTTGCAAAGTGTAATTTCTGGCTGGCTAAGGCAGAGCCTCTTCCTTAACGCATACCTGAGGATGAAGTGGTTCTCTCTGCCTCTCTCACGCCTGAATCCATCCCGGGCTCCCCTCCAGCAAGGTGGGAATTACTCATGGGCTGCTCATGGTTCCCACGCTGGGGGGGAGGGGGAGAGGCTCGTTTTTGTCCAACTCACTCAAATGAGTCAGAACCTGGCTCTGAATGCTGTTTTCCAGGTGTCCCTGTCATCATTTTCAAACCCCTTCCCACCCACCTGATGAGAAATCCTCTGGCCCAGTCTCACCCCAGGCTGTAGGGGTTTCTGCCCTTTCTGGATCTAGTTACTGTCTGCAAAGAAGTGAAGGGTTTGCAGTATAAAAATGGTTCATGAAGGCCCAGAGCTGCCTCTCCATCCCTAGAACACACAAGGCGATGCTCAAACTCAAAACTGCTAGCATTGATTGATTGAATGTTTACCATGAGCTGGGCCTTATTTTAAGTACTCTACATAATTAATTAATATCGAATATTCCCCACATGCCCACTTCAAAGATAAGGACAGTGGCCCAGGGAGATGAAGTCACAGGACTAATAAATGATCAGGATAGGAATTCAGACAGACCAGACCCCTAGGCCCGGAGTTTCAAGCACTGAGCTTTTCTGCTGCCAGGTTTCTATCTAGACAGTCCCTGGCTGTGCCACATGCCTTGTATGCCACCAAGAATAACAGCAGGTCTCAGGGAGAGGCTAGGGAGCCCTGATTTTTTTGAGCAGTTACTATGTGCCAGTTGTCAGCTGCAACAAGACATTTGCATTCATTACTTGTCGTCTTTAATCCCTTGGTAGCCTCAGGGACAGCACAGTCTTACCTGGTTACTTATTCTGAAGCCATTGGTAACAGTTTGTAGGTGGAAGTGCCAGGGAAGAGATCCTGGTGGCTCATATGCCAAAGCCCTGCCTCTGCCCACCAGGCTTTCCTGCCCGTTCTTTCCTATGGGTGATACCTGCACACAGTTCGCTCCTGCTCATTCTCCCCAACTCCAGCCTGGATGCCCTTGTGGTTGCAGCTCTCCTTGCTGCAGTAAGCCCTGGACTGCTGGAGGTGGGGGCGGGGAAAGTAACATGTTTCCTTAATGCTTACTGACAAAGTGGCCCTTGTTTGCCATGCTTCAGGAGACCCTACAGTTTAAAGGTTAGAAGCCTGGGCCGCAGAGTCCCGTTACCTGTTCCAAATCCCACTACTCCCATTAATTAGTTGTGCAATCTTGGGCAAACTAATTAACCTCTCTGGACCTTAGTTTTCCCAAGAGTAATATGGAGATATTAATCGCAGCTCCCTCAGAGGTTAGTGTGAGCACAAGAAGACATAAAGTGGTTGCGATTACCTAGAATCCCTAAGTTTCCACTGCCCCGATGTAATAATGGCGCTCATGCTTAAATATTGCTTTATAATTCTGGAAGGCCTTTATTACTTTCTCATCAGCCTTAAACAACAGAGGAGGAAATCAAGACTCACTAAGATTAGGTAATTCCCAATGCCACACAGATATTAAGTGACAGAATCAAGAGCCACATAGCAAAATCCAGACATCCACAAGTATAACCCTGTACAATTCGAACACCATACACGGAAGGTCTGCGTCTGTGCATTCAACCAACCACAGGTCACAGATACCCGGGGAAACAATCGCATCTGTACTGAATGTGAGCAGACATCTTTTCATGATTCCCTAAACAATGGAATATGAGAAGTATTTGCATAGGGTTTACGTTGTGTCCGGCATTGTAAGTAACCTAGACTGAAAAGTATTTGGGAGGAAGTGTACAGGTTATAGGCAGATACCAAGTCATTTTACATAAGGGGCTTGAACAGCCAAGGATTTTGATATCTGCAAGGGGACCTGGAACCTATCCCTCATAGATATGGAGGACAACTGTAATTTTTCTGGTCCCCCACCTTAGATCTAGACAAGACTCTTGGAGTATAGTGGTAGTCCTCTTCTGGAAAGTTCTGTTCCTTTTCACAGTTCCATAGCTTGAACAAGACCCTCAAGGGAGCTTTCAGTCTCTGTGTCCTCCTCCCGCTCAGAGCACCATCTAGTGACCAAGCATGTGTCACTCTGACAGTCACACCAAGAACTTTCATCTCAGCATCTATCCAGTTTGAGGCCTCAGTTCTGGCATTTGAGAGTCAAGTGTGATGTGCACACAGACTGAAATGCACAGGGGAGCAAAGGAAGCCAGTGCCATTTGAGTCCCTGGACTCTTTTGAGCCATTTATCTCTCCATCCTTGATTCATTTGTCTCCTGAATGACAACTTAGATATAGCAAATATACTGGTTGATTCTTCCAGATACATTTTCATCAAATTTGAGCATCATTTTCAAAAAGAAAACTAAAATACAGTCATACCTCCTTATCCATGGGTTCTAATCCTTGGAGTCAACAAACTGTGCATTAAAAATATTCAGAAAAACAATTGCATGCATGTGGAACATGTACACCCTTCATGTCAATACCATATGACAACTACTTACATAGCACAGACCTTGTATTAGGAACTGTGAGTAATCAATGCTTTAAGGTATATGGAAGGATGTGCCTGGGTCGTGTGCAAATACAGTGCCACTGGGTAAGAGTCTTGAGCACCTGTAGATTTTGGCATCCATGGGGGTTCTGGTAACAATTCTCTATGCATACCAAGGGATGACCGCATAATATTCCATTAGCTTTTCTAAATGTAAGACGGGCTGGGCATGTAGCTCAGTGATAGAGCCTTACCTAGCATGAGGGCCTTGGATTCAGTCCCCTGCACCAATAAATAAATAAACAAATAAATACAAACAACACAATACAGAAAGGAAGGAAGGGAGGGACTTCCAAGATCTATTAACTAGAAAAATTCAGTATATAAAAGAGTACCTATTTTTCAGCCTCATTACATCTCATTTAGTGTGACTTGAAGTAGGAATTACTATCTCCATTTTGCAGGAACAGGACCAAAGTTTTGTTCATTCAGATATCCCACAAAGATTCTGGAGTCCTACTCTGTGCCTTACAACTGTGTAAAGCAGATTCATTGTCCCACTTAACATGAAGGCTGAGGCTCACAGGGATTATGGAACCCGTCCAAGGTCACAAGGCTGCCATGGAGCAGAGAGTGGAGGACTTGGCCAGGGGAGGTAAAAATAGAGCCTCCTCTCTCTCTGTCCTGCCAGATATTAACCCTAGAATTTTCCAGATGGGCCTCCTACTTCTGAGACAGAGCTGAGCTCCCCTAAGTATAAACAGCCAGAGAAAGGCGAGGGTTGTTTGGTGTTCTAACAAATGCAAGAGCGTGGCACTGACGGCTGGAGTGTCAGTGACATTAGCACATATAATTGCCTACCAGCTGGCCACGGTCTCCTGGAGGGAGGCAGCCTGGACACAGCCAGGAAGCAGAAGCCCTAGTGCTGGATTACCAGGTCTAGTCTGGCATGTTGCTGCCACTGATTTTCTGTGTGACCTTGGTCACATGCCACCTGTGCTCTGCTTTTGTCTTTATTCAGCTACAGTGAGGCTTCACCATGGTGATCAGGTATTCAAAAGAGATACCCTGCCAAATGGCTGCAGCTTCCAGCTGACAGGGATGAGCCATTTATTCTTCCTTGATGGAAGCATGGAGTAATCCAAACCTGAGAACTCAGCCTTTCTTCTTCTTCTTTGAGAGGTGAAGGAATTGGGGGAGAAGTAGAAAGGAAGGAAAGAACCATTAATATGCCTTGGCAGGGTTCATATGTTTTCTTAATTACTGGGTTTGAAATACTTCAAAAATACAAAGATGAATGCTGTTGTTTTTCTCAAATTTCTGTGAGGCAGTTTTCATGCCCTGGAGCAAAGGCTGTGTTAAAATAACGATAGCAAAGGGTGTCTCCAAATCCTCTCTCCCCTGGCTGATGGCACCTATCAACAAGATTTGATGGCCATCAGAACCATGATTTCCTTCCAGAAAATGGTTAATCTCTTTGCAAGTGTTTCAAAGCAAATTTTGAGCTATCCCAGAATGGAAAGCTCAGGGGTGGTGAGTTTTAGAATGGATTCAGGAGACTGGATCATTACTTGCTTGCCTATATGTTTAGTGAGCAGTGAGTTACCAATCCTCTCATCTAGGGCTACTGCTTTCTACCAAGTGACCTGGGGCAATTACTTCCCCATCCTTTGCAGAGATGGGCTTCCCATTTGCTCCATGGACTGATGGACCATGGCAGGGGATGAGGGCAAGTGTTTGATATGCTACTTTCAACCCTTGCCAGGTTTCCTGGGCACCTTCTGAGGCTGATAGGTTTTGTAATTTGTTTGGTGTAGGGAAAACTGGATTCAAAGGTGAAGGTTATGCCACAAGAGCACTGGGCATGAAATACAGCCCTGGGGTGACAGGTGGAAGTCAAGGTCATTCACAGACATGGGTGGGGTACTGATGGCCTGCTGGGTTCACACAGGAGATCAACCAAACAAGGGGAATTCCATCCCTGACATCAAAAGATATAGTCATCCCCTGACCAGGACCCCCATAGATACCAAACTCTGTGAGTCCTCAAGTCCTTTATGTAAGTGACATATTATTTAATATA